TTGAGTCTCTTTCTGCTGCTGTGAGTTCAGCTGATTGAGCTGTAAATGATTGAACACATGAGCTGCTCCTCAGTAACATGATACTGCAGGACTGAGAGTCACACTGAAATACACACTTTCACACACAATCAACATTTCAGTCTCATGACTTTAAACAGACTCGAGCTCAACACAGTCAGTGACTCTTTAAAATATTGCTTTAATTGTGTAAAATCACACAAATCACTGCTGCATACACATGCGTACAGATCTAAAGAACACAGTAAAACTCAGGTAGTGAATTGTGTCATTTATTTAAAACAGATTTAGCATGAGACAAACATTTTTTAAATAAAAAATGCAGACAGTTGGTGCGATGAGATAATATTATTGATCTTGCTTGAATGAAACTTTAGATGTTTTATGATCATGTTTGGTGCTCTGTGAAATTTTTGATCTCAATCCAATGATCCATCAAACATGTAGATTTGTGCTTTAAGTTTGTACTTTCTCTTTAATAATGGATTCACTGCTAAATTTATGAAAGTAAAAGAGTAGCAAAACTCGAAAGCGAGCTGATTTGATGGTGTTAACCCTGTCGTCTCCTGTCGTAATACATTTTGGGCATACTCGGCCCAGGGGAGATACTAGCTCCAACTGTCCTGATGTTGGTGACAGTAGGCTCGGAGATATCGCCCGATCTCCTGGATCTTGCGTTCGGTCTGGCCGTTGGTTTGAGGGTGGTAACCTGAAGAAAAACTGGCGGATACACCCAGCAGACGGAAGAAGCCATGCCAGACACTGGATATAAACTGTGGCCCTCTATCGGAAACTATATCCTCTGGGATACAAACATTTCGAAAGACGTGATGGAAGAGAGCTTCAACCGCTTCTAAGGCGGTGGGTAGCCCTCGTAAGGGAATTAGCTTGCAGGCTTTGGAGAATCTGTCCACGACCACGAATATGGTAGTGTACCCATTGGAAGGTGGAAAATCTGTAGCGAAATCTACTTTACTTTTCTCTTTACTAATGGATTCACTGCTAAACTGATCTGATCTGAGAGAGTGAAGAGTGTGTCATTGTTCTCTACAGGTTGAGTGATTGTGGCGTCACAGATGAAGGTTGTGCTGCTCTGGCTTCAGCTCTGAGATCAAACTCCTCACACCTGAGACACCTGGATCTGTCTTGGAATAAAATAGGAGATTTGGGTGTGAATCGTCTCTGTGCTGGACTGAAAGATCCTCACTGTAAACTGGAGACACTACGGTAGGATCATCTCTCTGATAGTCTCATGATTGGAAAATATAAGATAATAATTCAGATCCACTTTAGTCTCTGTACTTTAAACTGTTTAATTCTCTTATGATCTATGAATATATGAATATTTTCATCACTTCCCATGTCTCTGTGTGTAAATGATAAAGAGTGAGTTGTTGATCATTCACTGTTATTAATCTATGATCAGTTTTTTATTCATATCTCTGGCTGTAATATGAATATACTGTTTTTTTTCTGAGCTGGATCTGCTGATGTGTGTAACAGCAGTAATGTCTCATACTCATATGTGACTGTCTGTGTGTTTTATTGTAGGACTCTCAGTATTTAGACATCAGTCCAGTTTCCTCAGGATCAGCTGATGATGAATAAGGAGCTGCTACAGAGACGTCACAGTCACACAATCACCAGAGACTGAAGACACAGAGACATACAGCATCACATTGTCATGTGTGTCATCTTTCACTTTCTTGTTTTATAGGTAATGGCTCATGAAATTGAGTGCAGAATCATTTTGGATTCTCTAGATATTGTCTACAATGTAGATCAGATGTCCAATCTGGCCCCCGGGATGATTTGAACAATAATGTAAAATAATAAATAACACATTATTTTGAAAATGAAACAAAGTGTATTTGTGCTCCAAGACTTGGGTCGAAGATCCAAACGCAGCTTTAATAAGGGTAATCGACAATCGTAATCAAAATACAAGGCAAAGGGTCAAACAATCCAAACAACAGAGTCCAAAACACAGGCAAACATGGAAATCCAGGAAACCAGGCACAAGATCAAAACCATAACACGGGTAACCAGAGAGAGCGCTCAGAAATGCAGTGTAACACAAATAAGACTTCACAATGAGAGAGTGAAAACACAGGGCTTATATAGGCAGAGCTAGCGAGGGAAATGGCAGGTGTGAAAATTCACTACAATATATATATTTTTTTATCTAAAGTGGAACAAATTGCTAATTTTTTTTGCTCATTTGCATTGATGTTACTCCTTGGGACACAAACACACGCGTGTAATGGATTAAACAGCACCAGAATCTCCAGCAGGACCTAATTGATGATCACTGCATTGTAAAACATATGCTTGTGTGTCAAGTTATGATTTTAAACATGTCCAAAAGAAGAAATTCGACCTGGAAGGGTGGATATTTAAGGAGAAATGGAAAGGAAGGTATTTGTTCTGTGAGGTCAACTCAGACCGGTATGTTTAATCTCAACCCGTGTTTGGTAAAAGTTTGCAATATAAACAGCACTATGAGACGCACTGGTCGCTTAGGACGAAAAAAGTGCATGAGCTAGGAGTGCTCATTTACTATAATATCGTAATTGTTTTAATGATGTGCAAGGTGACAATAAGCCTATGTAATTCTGAAAAAGAAAAAAAAAACGTCTTTCACTGCAGGATGTTTTATTGTGATGTCAAATTATTCAAATTGTATTTCCCTCAAAACATCATCACCACATAGTCGTTTCCAAACGTGTTCACCACTGCAGGATGTTTTACAGTAGGCTACAATAGCGATTGTGTGTGGTACAGATGCGGTACAGCATCACAAGCCATGAACAAAACTTTCTTTAACACCAAATAGCATAGTTTCCTTTCAATCGGTCACTCCGAGTCAATTCGGTGACCGACGAATTGGGATCTTGCTTAGAGAGACCAATCCACTTCGAGTGTAAACTAAATGAGCCAATGCACATTGGCATGCGATGATTGCATTAAGCTGCCGCTGATCACAGCATGAGCATAAAAAGGCAGCCGGTGCAACGCATACCAGCTTTTCGCTTCGGAGCCGAGCGACAACATCGTTCTGCTCCTACCAAACTGCTTCGTGTGTGACGAGTCTAGCGCGCTCTCTGGAGCTTTTTGTGTTGGCGGATGGCGCTTCAGCGGTGGTCGTTCCT